TCCCGTGGTCTTTTTCCTTTTGGTTCTCGAGGTGGTTGTTGGCGTTGGCCGTCCTTGTCCCGGCATCTGGGTGAGCGTTGTCGGGCTTCTTCTCAGAGGCGATTTACTCCATCGCTGGGACTCTTCTCCTGGGTACTACCTAGGGCGCCTCCAGATATGTACAAAGAGAGGTATCGCCTGCCTACATAAACATCTCCGGCAAGGTCTTTCTAAGGAAGGGGCCTTATGCTTGATCCCTGGCGACGAATTTTCACTTGGTGGCTAAAATTTTCAGGTTGCGCCAAGGGGGCCTCAACCGGGTACGCCTCCTGCCTTTTTCACGGTGAAATACATCTGGCTGTGATCTTTGGAATAGTTATGGTTTTTTACCGATTTCTCTCAAGAACAATGGTGTAAATCTTAATTGGTGTTGCTAATATTTCATTTTGCTCGTCAACGTCGTAACCTCCACGTGTGGGAGGCCTCTTCAGGGATCGAGTAATGGCGCCACCTCATGCAACTCACCTGATTTCACACTCCACCGGAAGTGAGCTCCAAATATTTTCCATCGGTGACGAAGACCAAAGAAGAAGGATTTGATTGTTTTTTCAATTCTTTTTAAGTTTTTTTTTTGCAAATTGTTGGGCAAAAGTGTAATTTGCCCATTCACAAGGGGCTTCTTTTCAAAACTGGAAGTGTCCCAGTAGCACTGTAACAACTCATGTATTTTATGTTTCTAATCTACTTTATATAAATAAATGCATGAGTTTTAAAAAGGAAAAAAATGACTCGCTCGCCAGGCCTTGTTGCGATCATGCTCCATCTTTTCTTTTGCTTTCATGTTCGTGATGGCCGTTACTCCTATTTTCTCAGTGGAATTGTATTTAGGACTGGTGCAGTAGCATACACTTATGTTGAGTCTGGACCCACGTATCAGCCACTGATCAATAGCCTACATCCTATTTTATATGGACATTATTGGGAGGGTGGGAGTGGGTGGCTGTGGGTATGGAGGGAAGAATCTCTCTCGCACAGCGCCACCCAAGTTGAAAGCTTGGGACAGGTGCAGCCGCATGGGTCGCGCTCTCCGCCACTACGAAGGAGAGGAGTGATCAACCTCAGCTACACCGTTCAGGTGCTGCAAAAAGCGGCGTAACGTCCCTGCTTCTTGTACTGGCTACGCTGCAATAATTCTGTACTATAACCACTTGTCTTAGATCTGATAAGATCGCGAGGCCTTTATCACTTTGATCTCTGGTCGTCATCTGTCAGCGACTTTTTTCTCTCTCTCTCTCTTTTCATCTTCTTTTCTCTCGGAAAGACCAGGCTTGATCAATTCATGTGCATGTCTTCTTTGCAGGATAGCGGTCCAGGACATTCTGATATTTTAGTGAACAGAAGAAAGGGCCAGTTGCAAATTTTCCCACACTTAATGTATTTTGATTTTGCGGGGAAAAGGTATTTTAAGAAGGCTTTTCATCACTAGTTCACTACAGGAAACCAGCAGAAACATATCAGACAGTGAACGGCACGAACTAGTAGTAGACTATAATATCTTGTGCATAAGCTCGGCACATGATTAGTCTTTATTTTAGTAACATGATTGAGGAGCCCTCTAGCTGTCTGGCATGCAAAAGAACTCCAGAAATGATGGAGATCTGAAGGAATCTTTCGTGCTGTTTTTAAAATCCATCAACTTCTGTACAAAGCAGAAATAATAAACCTTTTTTTCCCCCTCACACTTTCTGATTGTCGACAAATTTTTGTCAGGCAGATGGCTGCCTGGCCACTTGTCTGCTCTTTCCTGTGGATCACAGAGTAACCGATCCATGTGAAACTCTTCAGTCCTAAAATGTCGTTTGGTCTCTTGCTGATGGAAAGTTTATAAGCTGCATCTGGTCGAATAGCTCGATGTTAGCTGCATTGATGTCTCTTTTGTTATTCTCTTTGGGAAGCATATGAGCAACTTCATACAGATACGTTGGTATTATCTGTTCAGATCTTCCTCAAAATGTACTACTACTACTACTATTTAGACGTCTGCACATATGCTGAAGACAATAGTTAATTCTAAGCATTGCTGGTATCGGCAGTTTTCAGCAAGGAACACGAATTAGTCGCTATCTCAATACACAATTTCCCTTCCTCAATCCCAACCCCAAGCTGAAAGCCTGAAACTCCTGGATAGAACTAAGCAAACACTGAAAAGCAAACCTTTAAATGGTCCATCGCATATTTCAGATGTGAGACTAGTGAGCACTAGACTTTTGCGATGTTTTGGCTTCAGTTTGGTCTAGCTTCTAGCAATTGCAATTTCTTCCAGAATCAGAATCTCTCACAAACAGTTTAGCTTTTAATCTAGATTATGAAAAACTGTAGTTATAGAATTCAGAAAATGAATTACTTAAAAGTTAGAAGGTGAGAAACCTAACCTTTTCAAATTCTCAGAAACTAACTACCGACTAGTTATTTCTCATAATTTTAACCTTCACAAACAGACCCCTAGTACCCATAGGCCATATCGCGTGCATCAGGAGAAGCAATGCCAATGCAGTGATTGTTAGGTTCGCGTCGTCGTCGTGCGTGCATGCGTGCTCGCGTAACCGCGGGACAGATACATCGCCCAAATCAAGCCTTGTGTCTTTTCGCCATGACCGGCAAACCGACGACAAAACATGTGACGATCTGTAAATATGTGTGCATTGTCTAACAACTAGTCGATCGATGGTGGATGGTTGGATGCCGCAACAATAACCACCCTAAAAAGTCTAGGCGTCAACAAATAAGCGTGCCTCCTTTCTGCCCGGCCTCTCTTTTATTTCCTCATCTGAGAAGTACTGCGATGAAGAACACGACGCGTTACTTTCTTTTTGTGGCTACAAAATCCTTAGATGATTGGTTTTAAAAAATGTTGTACGATTGCACTTTTCGAAGGAGCTAGAAGTACCCGTTGAAAATCTAGCTGGTGAGACTAGGAAAATATGATTTTGATTTCGAGTTTATTTTTCACATTGTATAACTATAACCTTTTAAAATCTGAAAAAAAATCTATTTGGAAGAGCTTTTAGTTATAGGAGAACCCAAACATGCCTATATCTGTTTTTCTTCCAAAAATCTACTAGACTTTGTGAAGTCTGCCCATCCTTGGAAAGATATCTAGAGGTATCATATTTTCTAGTATAAAATTTTGGTACCTCTAGGTACTACGTATCTTAAGGTATCAAAAATTTTTAGTATAAAATTTAGTTACCTAAAAATACATTTTCAGGACTGTAAAATTCCACTTTACGGAAAGACATTTTGGCCCATCTATTATTAAATTACTAGGAAAAGGAGCCTCCACGTGCGCTCTCACGGGCTAGAAATTCTCATATTAATCGGATAAAAAAACAGAGTCCATATATAAATACAATTTTAAAATAGCTGAAATTCGAAATTAAAAAATAAGGAATATTAAAACATGATACTAGAGTCCATTCCGGTATACAATTTAGAACCAATGAAAATTCCGTATTATTTTTTAAAAAAAGATAAAAGTAGATGTTAGAGTTCATATAGAAATACAATTTAGAAATAACTAAAATTCGGAATTAAGAAAGGGAATATTGAAAGAAGAGTATAGAGTTAATATAGAAATACAATTTAGAAATCACTGAAATTCGGAATGAAAAAATAAAGAATATTAGAAGAAGAGTATAGAGTCCATCTAGGATTACAATTAAGAAATAACCGAAATTCGGAATAAAAGAAAGAAATACTAGAAGAAGAGTATAGAGTCCATACAGTAATTTATAATTAACTAAAATTTAGAATAAAAATAATAAAATTAAAAGTAGAGTTTAGAGTCCATATAGAAATACAATTAAAAATAATAAAAATTCAAAATAAAAAAATAAATATTAGAAGAAAAGCCTAGAGGGGTCTAGAGTCCACATAGGAGTATTATTTAGAAATAACTGAAATTCTGATTTCTAAAATAAGAAATATATGAATAAATTTTATATGTAACAAAAAATCAGAATTAAAAAAATGAGTATTGGAAGATGAGACTAAAGTCAATACAATTTAGAAAGAACTAAATTCAATATTAAAAATAATTAATAACTATCACGTACATACAATACAATATGAATATTACATATTGATAGTTTGGTAAAATTAGTACAAAAATTTAAATTATGTTATCATTTTAATATATTGTAATAATAAAAGAAGAAAAAAATACTATTATAGAAGAGAAAATATAGGGATGCTAGCTAAGTTCAATATGAAGCGTGCAGAGTGGACTAGTGGAAACTGATAAGGCAAATTGCGGGCAATAATTTCACCATAGTCATGGCCTCCCTTTCGTCCTCCGTCAGCCAAGACTTCACTAAGTTCAGTAGAACTGTAGATGAGCAGGAATCTTGTAGCCTAGCTCCTTGTCAAGTTATCCGGAGCGGTAAATTATTGGTTAACTAGCACTTTAGAAGTGGACAAGTTCGGTCCATCTGTCTCTTTTCGAATAACTTATCGCATGCAACAACAAAATGACCTTCAACTAAAAAAACAAACAAATGAACCGTCGCCGGATGTCTCATCGATTGACGTCTCAAGAGTGTTCTTGTAGAAGATGCTTTGCTCTATGGAAAGTCCGCTTCTGAAGAGAACTCAGCTACTACAAGGGAACTCGCCGTCGCCGGCCGAGTTTGATTTCTGTTGGGGATTTGGCCCTGGTGCTGGGACTTGGGAGGCTGGGGCCGTCGAATTGGGTCGCGTAGCGTGAAGGTGTGCGGGCCTTGAGCCCTGTTGCTTCTCCATCACTGCCCATTGTACTTGTTACTGGGCCATTGTTTGAGTGGATCAGTTTTTTGGTCCAAACTCGAGCCCCACAGAAAAAAAAATCTTCAACATTTACTCTGACTAAGGACATTCGTAAAATATCTGCAACACTCAGTGTCGAAGTCGACTACCTGTCAAACTCAAATCAGAAAAAAAAAGATCACCTATGATTAAAACAAAAATCACTTGAGAGCACGAACAAATTGTGAGAGCACAGCCGCCTCAAAACATGCATCATTCCATTCCAATGAAACACTTCAAGTTGATGAAGCAGTACACCTTCCAATCCCTTAACCAATTAAACCATGCAATGATCGATGCAACAATGCAGATAAGTTTCAAAAAGCACGACGGGTTCGTCCACTCATGAAGATATCAACTTCCACTCCACTCCACTCCACTCTACGCTCACTCACTCTCACCTTCACGCTCAGCGGCCTCCAGAATGGACGCCGAAGAAGTCGTAGAACGGAGGCGCCTCGCTGCTGGGGCTGTCCGAGCTCTCCGACTCCCACGAGAACGACGCGGACGCGGACGGCGTCGTCGGGGACACGGCGGCGCAGGCGCTCCCGGCGCGGAGCGGCTTGTGATCCGGCAGCACGAAGGTGGGCTGCAGGGGGAACAGCTGGAGGGTCTCGCGCCCACCGGCGCCGCCGCCGCGGCGGCCATGGCCTTCCGCTTCCGCCGCGCCGCGGCCAGCCGCCGCCGCGAGGTGTGCGCTGCTCGGCGGTGCCTGCAGGTACATGGTGGTGGTGGCCGGTGGCTGCGCCGTGGACTTGTCGTGCGGACACACTTCCATCCCTGGGTACAGCAACGGCGTCTGCTGCTGCGGGTAGTAGCTGGCGTTATTTGTCGCGACCGGCATGAAGCTTGGCGTCCTGAACATCACTGCAAGGATCGAAAGTGTGCATGGATCAGTGCAGAACATGGAGTGGAGAATTGGCATTTAAGAATTGAAATGCAAACACAAACTGTAGTAAAAATAGAATCTAATAAACGCGCGCATTATGATCAAATGGATGGTCATGCTAAGAACAACAGATCAAACATGCCAATGTCAACAACGATACTCGAAGCTGGATTGGATGACACGTGCACCGACCACTCATGGGACACATTTTCATGTCCCAACATTATGAGATGGAAGGGCAGCATTTCTTGGATGGGAAAGGAAGCAGCTAAAGGATGATGTGGAAGGTTGTGTCTGGCCGTTTTGGCCCTAGCTAGGAGGATGGTCATTTCCTTCTACCCTCGGTCATGCACAGCATGACAGCAGCACAGTGCACAGAAGATTAATGGAGCTACAAAAGGGTAGCAGCAGAAGCTACATAGGCAGGCAGGCAACGTTAAATCGTGTGACCATGAATAGGCAGTCTCTCTGTTCCACTGGCACTGTATATAGGGGGGCAGAGGAGAAAAGACAGGTGATACGAAACAATGGAAGAAATGGAAGAAAAAACGGACGGATTTACAGTAGGAGACATGAACAAGGCATGCACATCGTGACAGAATAGTGATAGCTAGCTAAGCAAGCGTAATGCGATTGCATGCAACGCAACGCGTGCATGCAGAGGATAAGTACAAATAGACAACTAGCGGCAGTACTACTACCGTGTTATACATCATGCCGTTGTGCAACAAAGCGGTCAAGGTCAACTGTGAAGAATGGATGTTCTACGCCAAGTATACTTGTCATGCCAGCCATGCATGTACAAAACGATTTCGTATAGATTTATTGGCCCATGCATGAAAAATGCAAGAACTGAAACGACAGCACGAGAACTTTGACCTCCATACGCATGAATACCACGAAAAATGAATGGATGCCAGGTGCATGACACCCATGTGTAAAGCTAATTAAGCAAGACATGCCAAAGAGAAGATTTAATACGTGACATTTAAAGCACGAGAAAAGGTTTGGCTTACCACCACCGGCGTTGCATGCGGCCGTCGTCGTCGTCGCCGGCGGCGGCGGCGGCGGTGGCATCGCCGTCGGCGCCATGGCGAGAGGGAAGGGCCGCGCGAGTGGCCTGTGGAGCACGGGCAGCGGCGGCGGGCGGCGGAACAGCTTGCTGAAGTAGTCGAAGCTCTGCTGCTTCTGCTTCTGCCGCTGCCGGGCCTTGTGGTTCTGGAACCAGTAGAACACGTTCTTGCCCTCAATGTGGCCGTGCTCCCGGAGCCTCGCCGTGATCTGCTGTATCTGCTCGGCGGTCGGCGTGCGCAGCCCCTGCCGGTACAGCCCCTCCAGCACCGCGATCTGCTCCTTGGTCGGCGTCCACCGCGCGTTCGCCAGCGCCGCCGCCGCCGCCGAGGCCGGCGACAGCGGCGGCGAGAGCGGAGACGGCGGATCGGAGAAGCCTCCCGCCCGCCCGCCGCCGCCGCCGCCCAACGTCGTCGTCGTCGTCTCCATGGCTTGCTCTGACTTTGGTCGCGCTCGCTCGGCTCGCCCGCTCGCGTTTGTGATGCGTTTGCTGCCTGCGAGCGGCCGCGGGTGCGTGGTTTTTAAGCGTGCATGGGAGTGTGAGGAGGTGGGCGATGGGTGGGCCGTAGCGCGTGTGCGCGCGCGCGGGCGGCAGGGGGAGGCGTAGCTAGCGTGGGGATCGTGTCGCGTTGCGGTCAAGGGGAGCGTACGTTTCGACGTTTTCGTGAGGACGGGAGGAGTCGCGTGCCGCCCCTGTGCCGTGCGCCGCGTAGATCACCACGGCGAGTGGCGTGATCCATCCATGCGTGCATGCATCGTCGTCGGTACTCCAATCGATGGATCAAGGGCGTACGTGCCCATTGTGAAGTGAAATGAAAAGCAATTTTTCACTCGTGAAAAGGGCCTTTTCCTTCGTGTACGCGTTTTTTTTGCCCAGCTGGCCGCATCGATCGGAAAAAGGAGAGAGTAAAGTGTGCGTGCGTGCTGTTCGACGTGGGCTCTGAAAACAATGGGGGAAGAGGAAGGAAAGGAGGCTGCGGAGCGGAGCGCATGCAATGCACGCAGCTAGCGCGCGGCCGCACAGTGAATGCGTGCCAACTTGCCTTTCCAGAAGAGAAGTAGAGTAGCCTAGTCGATCTAGTGTAGGAGGCGCAAGCCGTACGAAGCATCTCCTCTCCTCGTAGTCGTCCTCGGGAATGATGGGAATTATTTGCTCGTGGCAACAGATTTTTCGTTTTACGGGCGAGATCTCGTGTGTTTAGCCCCTTTCGGTAGAGGACTAGCTAGCATCCATCGCGTCGCTCTATTCATCGCGTACGTACATGTAGCCTCTGCACGTACTATGCGCTGTACTCTGCGTCCCCGTATAGGCTACTTTTGCAATGTCCAAGTTAGATCGATCAGATTCAATGCATGCACGAGTTTGGGAGTGAATTGAAGCTTGCTTGACTGCTTGAGGCCAAAGTAGATCGAGTTGTTACATCGCATTGCATGCTTTGACTACTACGCGATCAGATCAGAGTGCCTTCAGGATAAACGGATCAAGCATTTTTTTTGTTGGGAAATGCTCGTATCGTGGTTTTGCGCCCAAACTTCAGTCTATTGTCACAGAAAATGTTCGCCGCGGTTCTAAAGACATCAATGCAGGAGATTCATATCGATCTCGCGCATTCCGTTCTGTGAAAGCTTAATTCAGTATACATCGGTGTAAAGCAATTGGTTGCAGGCTTGCAGCATGCTGCATGCAGCTGAAATTTTTCGAGTTACTGGTTGCCGCATGCGTGCCCGAACAAGGATCTCTGAAATGATAAATCAGGTTTATTTTGCAATAACAAAAGATCAAACCAGCAAGATACTTCCTCCATCTAAATATAAGTGCAACTTTAGTACAGATATGATATAAGGTGTATTTAATTCTTTGGGTGTAAAGTTTTTGAAGTATACGGACGCACATTTGAAATATTAAACGTAGACTAATAACAAAACAAATTACAGAGTCCGCCTATAAACTGCGAGACGAATTTATTAAGCCTAATTAATCCGTCATTAGCAAATGTTTACTGTAGCATCACATTGTCAAATCATGACATAATTAGGCTCAAAAGATTCGTCTCGCAATTTACATATAAACTGTGCAATTGTTTTTTCCCCACATTTAATGTTCCATACATGTATCAAACATTTGATGTGACCTTTTTGACCAAATTTTTTTGAGATCTAAACAAGGCCATACTCCAATCTAGGAATACAAATCTGAAAAGTAAGGCCCGTTTAGTTCGCGAAATGAAAATTTTTGGGTGTCACATCGAACGTTTGACCAGATGTCGGAAGGGGTTTTCGGACACGAATGAAAAAACTAATTTCATAACTCGCATAGAAACCGCGAGACGAATCTTTTGAGCATAATTAATCCGTCATTAGCACATGTGGGTTACTGTAGCACTTATGGTTAATCATAGACTAATTAGGCTCAAAAGATTCGTCTCGCAATTTCTCCCCTAACTATGCAATTAGTTTTTATTTTTATCTATATTTAATGTTTCATGCATGTATTCAAAGATTCGATGTTATGTTTTTGAAAAAAACTTTCTGGAAACTAAACAGGGTCTAAGAAGTATGCTGTGTGCATGCAAACGGAAAGTTTTAAAGACAACTTTACTGCTTGTCTACATGTTGTGTGCATGGTAATCAGCTATCACGAGCTCACAAACAATGAAGAGGAGAGAGAGGCCGGGACCTGAATGATCAATATTGGGACAGAGGGACGCCGGCCATGGCTTTTACTCCCTCAACTGGAGACGGCAGCTAGGCTGCCATAGGTAGGGATTGAAATGGCGAGGCACATTGGGAAATGGAGATAGAGGCTGAGGCTGATACCAAAGCAGGCTAGTGTAGGGCGATAGATGAGACGACGAACACTGTATGCATGCATGCATGCGTTGTGTTTGGGACATGCATGCAACGCACGGCAATGGGAGAGGGCAGACCGGACGGTTCAGGAGTCGGATTTTGAGATTATCGCTTCCCGTTTCCCCGTAACGTGATGTGAGAGAAGCCGAGACGCTGCACGCCTGCGTCGCATTACTCCTCACGAGCTAAGCTAGAGACTAGAGAGGCAGGGACGAAGGGAGAGGCAGACGAGAGGGGGAGGAGGAGAGAACGGATCGGAGACGCTGCAAATTGGCGCTTGCTGGTGCTGCGCGCATTGGGAAATGCCATGCGTAGCTAGAGGCTAACCACGCGCGACTCGCCTCACCCAATCGGGCTCCGGTGAGCAGTGGCAGCGTGAGCGTCGTCGTCGTCGGGTGTCCCTGACTAGATAGGACATGGATTGACTTTGATCGGCGACAAATCTTCAAGAGAGATCCGAATACCCGGAAAACCGTTCGCCCTGATCCGACTTAAAAACTTCGACGGCCGGCCGGTTGGGCAAATCAAAACACCGGAGCAGGTTAACCGCGAGCGAGCCAACGCTAGCGCGAAACCACAAAGATCCAAAGCCCGTGCTGGTTAGTTGCCGTGGTGCAGTGCAGGCGCAGGTAGACGCCGGTGGAAGGCGACGCGAGACATCCGCGTCAAAGAAATCCTAGAATTCCGGGCACGTAGCGCAACGGTGCGTGTGCCATGATCAGGAGATTGTCAAAAAAAAAAAAAAAGACAACACTTGAGAGCTGTTGAGCAGCTGCTGGAACAGACATTCTGAACGGATAAAAATAATAACGGGCACGAGAAGCATGAGTACAACGAAGTTTTCTGGGCCCAACATATATTTTTTCCTTGGTTGATTAGCACCGTGAAATAGTGCATAGAGGATCGATCAGAAAAAAACAGGCCAGTGCAAATGTGTGCATGTTGTTGGTATGCATGCTCAACAGGGATGCAAGTGGGTAATCCACTACCCGTATAAAAACTCGCTTGTTAGTATATTTTTCGTATGATAGTTTAAAATTTAGAAGAAAAAATTAACTAAAAGTGAGATAAGCGGGAAAAAAAGCGCGCTTGCCCGCCCCACTTGCATCCCTAATGCTCAAGGATTCTAGAGGTGAAAATTAGGGATGACAATTGTGCCCGTTTGCCCGTTTATCCATGGGTAAAAACCCTATTAGGGTTGGGTTTGTTCTCCATTTTATACCCATGGGTATCTTATTGGGTCAAAAGCTATGCCCGATGGGTAAATTGGCATGGGAATGGGTAATCACTACCCATGCCCGCTTTGCCCATTTACCCGCAAAATCTAACTTACATGTAGGCTAGGAGCAAAATCCACTAGAATACATAAGCCACGTTTTTATTTTCTACGGTTTCCCTTTTATTTCCCTTATTATTTCTCTCCCTTTACTCTATCGCCGCTAGAAGAGAGACGACACCGAGGCGGAGAATATTTGATGTTTTAAGTTCAATTCGAACTTAGAAGCTTGTAGACTTTTTGTTCCACTGCTTTTGTTGTGGCGGGTAAACGGGCACGCCCGCGGGCATAAGACGCCCGCGGGCAATGGGCAACCATCCTTACCCGTCATGTAGTAATTGTAGGATCAAGGAGGCCGACTAGAGGGGGGTGAATAGGCGGTTTTAAAACTTAATGGCACTTAAACAAAACTAACCTAAGTTGCTAGGCAAGGTGAGGTGCAAGGTTAACTAAGCAACTAAGTTAAGTTTTGCAAACCTAAGTGATATGGGCTCAAATATGTCTCTATGAATGTAAATAGCACAAATGTAAATGCAACAAATAAATGAGACAAGAGACAAGGAATTTTTCACCGAGGTTCGGAAACTCGCCGGTTTCCTAATCCCCGTTGAGGCGAGCCCAACTCCACCGCTCAACCACGAAGCCACCGCACGCCCCCTTCGTCAAGGGGTGGGCAAGGCGGGAGCCGGCCCACGGAGAGGACTACCCAAGCCTCGATCACTTGGGGTAGTTCTTCCTTCACTCCGAAGGTGGTGAACTCCAAACCACTCACAAACGGTGCCGGGCCTCCTCCACAATCTCCTCGGAGAGGTCACCGGGCAACACCTCCACAAGCTGTCTAGGAGGCGGCAACCTCCAAGAGTAACAAGTCTAGGATGCTTGCCGAGGATGATCAAGTGCCACACTAGCTATAACAATGAAGCAATGCACTTGGATTGGCTTAACTCACTCTCTAACACCTCACTAGATAAACTAAGTGCACAAGGGTGTGAGAGCTCTTGCAAGGGTTCAAGATAATGCAATGGAGTGCCAAAACCTTACCCTTGTTGCTGGGGAGTGGGTATATATACCCCCAACCACCAAAACTAGCCGTTGGAACCGAAATCCCCAACTTTGTGCTCTGCCGGTCAGACCGCCGTTATGAGGCCGGTCAGACCGGACTACTTTGTAACGGCTAGAAAACTAGCCGTTACAGGGCAATCATTGAGCCCACTCAACCTGGCCGGTCTGACCGCAGTGTAGGGGCCGGTCAGACCGCCGTCGGCTCGGTCTGACCAGTTGCGGCTCTGGCGGCTCTGTATCGCCACCAAAAACCAGACCAGTGCAATAGACTAGTGGGGCCGGTCAGACTGGCCTTACCACGCCGGTCAGACCGGCTAACAGACCCGGTCAGACCGGCCTAAGGCCCACGGTCAGACCGTAGGTCACTTTTCAGCTCAACCGACTGTTAGTAAAACGGTGATATCTCTTGACTCGGGTATCGGAATTTGGCGTTCTTGGACTCTATGGAAAGCTTATTCAAAGGGCCATCCAACCCATGAAAAATCCATCCAAGAAACACAACTTAAGTCAAGGATAAAGGGCTCACACTCCAAAGGATATCCACCGGACATACCCACAAGATGTCACTCACTCCTATTGGACATGCCCACTTCTCTCTTGGTTTAG